GTTTCGTCCCCTGCGGAATACCACCTCTGGGTGATTTCCAATCGGACAGAGAGTCTCCAATTCTTACAGCCTGTGATCTATCAGTCAAAAAGGCTCTGATCCAGTTAATTAGCACACTGTCTACATCAAAATGCGACAACTCTCTGAGAAGTATAGAATGGTCGATCAGGTCGAAACCCTTGGAATAATCCGCGAAAAACAATCTAGCTCCACATTCTACATTCTACATTTTACATCCCTGTAAAACCATCATTTCACTGGTGTCCAAATCCATTTTGTTCATGATTGTAGATTTGAAACTTCATTCCACAACTTCTAATTATTTTCCTCCTGTAACTGACAGGAATAATATTGAGGTATGATTCGATCACTAACCACTTACCTCTTGAGTTAAAACCATTTTAGACTCATTGTCAATTCCATCAAATCCTTCATCTTGCAGATCATTGTCAACATCAATACTTTGTGCACTGAGAAAAAAAAACAAGAAAAAAAATATAGAATGGATYTTCTTTATGTGATAAAAGAAAAAAGGAGAAACAAAGTGAAAACATATCAAGTCTGCTAAAAGATGAAGAAACTGAAAGTTGCAGACATGTTTTGTCATCAGTGTGAATTGCAGAAACTACAATAAGTTAGCATAAATAGTGATCTAGACACATGCAAATGTAAGATAAAGTATAATCATGTTACGAAGCTTATCATTGGTCTATTTTGAGCTCACTCAAAAAGCCTAKTTACTGAGCATCATGGGATATGTTATTTGATAATACATATATCAGGTTATATCATAGGATTCTGCACGTGTAGTTCAGATAGTTATTTTACAAGTACTGTTCAGTTGTGGAAGCGTTTTCCCTCCCTCCCACCCTGAGTTATTTTATTCAGGTGGGCAGAGAGGTTTAATTTCTCCATTTGTAGTCTTTTTACCCTCCTACTCTGGGTAGAGAAATAAAACCTCTCCTTGTGCCAAACCAAAGGTGTAGTGTCATTATTTTAATTAGCTCACATGTGCTTCAGTAATTTGGTATATGAAAGACTTGTTGGTTAATTAATACCCTAGGCATAGCAACACTTTTATGTAATTACAAAACAGGTGTTTATAAGCTAATTCCTTTGTGTCCTTTGTCTATAATCTAATCAAGCAATATCGAGCAACATTATTTCGATGCACTTTAGTACCTTAAGCTTATTTGCACTACTATTGATGGTAATTGTTGTTTTCTTTTTTTTCCCTTTTTTTAATTAAGTGCGAGAACTCTCATCAAGCCTGACCTGATATAATTTTCTATTAGAGAATTAAATGTCCATTCATTTTCACGGGTTAATTAAGCTTACTTCTAAGCGTACTTATTTCCCGGCAAATTTATAAGTAACTTATTACGTGGTCTACAAATTGTAATAAAAAACGCAAACGTACAAACCTTATACCYATACAAATTAATATCAGTAGTATCCCGAACTTGCATTCTGTCATCCTCAAACGTTTTAATATCATTTTAACACAATTATTTTCAATCGCTGAGTCATGGCTTCCCACACAGTTGCTCCTGATTTGAGCCCGCGATTTTTAAAAATCAATGATGGGCCTGGATGGGGCTCCTGTGTGTTATCRGTACACAGGGTGCCCAAGAGCAAATTTTAAGTAAATCCAATATGGCGACGGTGAGGTCCAAGGTTTTGAATTTGTATCGTCAAGTCTTGAGGGAAGGTTTAAAGTTTAGCAGTTACAATTACAGGTAATTTAGGTGCACATATGTTTTTCTTCTCTAGGAATATCTTTGWGCTGTAATGAACTTTAACTTACTATAAAGCTTAAAGTTAAACGGAATACTTGCATTCAAGTGGTGCTCTAGTAGAGTAGTTTGAAGCTTATCTTAATATCGAACAAAACGTGGAAACCCTTTGTGGTCAGTTGAAGATAGTTGAAAATCAGACATCGCAGTGTTGATAACCAAGTAACTTGTGTTTTCGTGTTACTTACACAAGGCTGTCGCTTACATGTAAGGTCCGGTCACTATGACATAACATTGTAATCGAGAGCTTGAGGACGAGGACAGAGTCTTCATATAGCTATAACTTAAATGTCAGAATCCACTGATTTCGACGCTTTTACTTCGAAAAATATACAAATTTGATTTTTAACCGGTTTAGAGCATTAAAACATGAAAAAAGAAAAGGGTGTAGCAAAAAATAGTAATGTAAATTGCACCTTTTTCAGGGCAAAAATGTTATAGAAAGTAATGTGATAATCATAATGAGTTGTTGTTTTGTTTTATTTTTATCATTTATTTTTTGAAAAATGGGCTCTGGACACAAAAAAACCCTGATATACAAGGATTTCTTTCATAAAAAAGTATCTAATATTGCTAAAAGCAGTGACCTGACATAATTATTTCATAAGTGTATTTGAGAAATGACTTGAGCTGGTGCACACAAAAATGGATAAAAAAGAAGTGAATAAATTTAGTCTGATCAATGTACATTAAAGTACTATTTGATTGTGAGCTTTTATTGCCAGGCCATTTTCAGCAACAAGCTTGAATCGTTGTTTGATTATTTGTAATAATAATAATATATTTAACGAGGAAGCCTTATCACCAAAGGTGATTTTCATAAGGGTCCTCAAACTGTGTTCATTTGATCAAGTTAATTGTACTTTAGGTGACAGTTTTAAAATCTTGATTCTGTTTGGTCAAATATGAACAATTAATTTATTAGCAAAATATTTCTTGTTGGCCATTTGCATTGTAAAATTGTAAATTATAGCAGTCCAACCTATGACATCCTGTATTTTTAAATTTGCAGAGAATATGCAATTAGAAAAGCAAAAGATGAATTCCGAGCTCATAAGAACATTACAGATTCAGAACACATTAAACAACTTATACAGCAAGCAGAACAAAACCTTCACATTATTAGACGTCAAGTAAGTATTGGATATTTATAGTTTGGGCTTTTTTGGCTAGTAAATCATGAGGGTGTCATTTTTTAGTATTAGGTGTATGAATAAGGAAAAATTAACTGCTTTTAAACATATATAGCTATTTCAAAAAAGGTTGTCGGATTGGCTCCATTTAGTCTCCATTTCTAAGTAAGGTGAATCCAATAAGTGAATGATTGTTTATCAAAACGGTGTAACCAAAGCCCCTTTCAGCTGTGCAATCTCCCTTCCAAAATCGTCATTTGCCATTCTTCCCAACAACTTTTTTGAAATATGTGTATATATGTATTCAGTCTTTAAAATTATAAAGAAGTGATTCATTTTTAGATCTTTTTCGTTGATTCCTACTGACAATTAAATTTTTTACATAATGCAGTAATTTTACATTTCAGTTGCCAGTTCAATTTAGTTTGAATTTCATACTTACCATGATAATGGTGCAAAAACACATTGTAATGTCAGTTACCATGGAAACCATGAAAAAAATTACATAAATTACATCATTGACACCCTCATGGTATCTGTCATGCAGATGAACACTGATCTGGTTTATGTCTTGGATAAGGTCATGTATGTAATTTCACAATTTTCCTGTCTTGAATATGATCAGGGTTCAATGTCCCCTCCCCCACCCCCGCCTTGGTTTTGTGTCTTGTGTAATAATTCAGATAAATACCTCCAATGTCAGCAATAGGCCTATAAAGCATAAGTGGCTTACAGGCACAATTCTCTCTATTATCACTTGATGATTTTCATTTGCTTGATTTTTCACAGACATTGCTGAATAATATGTACAGACATGAAAAGCTTGTCATTGAGAAGCAGTAACTRCAATGTCATTAGTATTGTTAGTATTTTAATGTATATGCTTCCCAGTTGTAAATAAAGACACTGATAACAAGGCAGCATTTGCTTGTCAAGTCAACAACAAYCTAAAAAATAGTCAACGTGATGTTATTGTCATTATAACACCTGGCCAGTCGTTCTTTAAATATGATGCAACAAGAAGGATAAATGTAAATGAGATTGCTGTGTGAGAGGAAATGTCAAACATCTTATGAACTATGAAAATGATAAACCATRGAAAAASTGTTGTGTAGAAAACTTATGACGTCAATCCTCCACTCTAGAAACTCAAAACGTGCCCAGCAATGAATAAGAGTAAAATTAAACCCATCAATAAATGTATAAGTGATCGGTATTCATATCTTCCTCAGGCCAAAGAGGCCAAGGTTAGAGCGAGAAAGGAACTTCATGACGAACAGGAAGATGATTCTACATGTATCAGATTTAAGGGATCTATATTGAATATTGAGCTGAGGCAGCTGTCCGTATATTATGAACCCGTGAAAAAATATAATTTAGTAATTTCCTTAAAAAAAGGTWAATATAAATTTCCATGCAGATCAGACTTGGCCATTTGAGACGTCCACGAAATATAAATGTTCTCCACGTGCTATATTAGGTATAGCTCATACGGAATCTCGCCAGTGTTCATTGGCACTCGCACATGCGGAGYTATCAAAGATGAGGAAGTGGTAGGGCCTGATAGACYTTGCAACATGTCCCAGCCCAGCAGGCACACCATCGTTGCAATTATGCAGTTTGTAAATACAAGGCCTTATTTAATGCATATCAAATACTTGATGATTGAAAAGAAAACAAAAGATTTGTTTTTCACGTGATCTACGTCCAATGAAAGTGGAAGTTCCATGCCTTCAGTTACGACATTAGTTCGATTAGCTGTTGAATGTTATGCTCGAYGTAATCTGAGAAATCATAAAGGTTGGTCCTTTGATAGTCTTAGCGAGCTGTGATTATTAGTTAAAAAACAAGAAAATCATCTTAATCGTCAATGAAGATGTTTTTTATGCAGCCATGCATCATGATGCACGGAGCACCTGGAAAAACTTCCGGGTTTTCTTATTTGCATAATTCCTCATCGAGGGCTTCTGACTTCCTGTGTCACTAAGTGGAGCTCTACCACTGCAAGGCTGTCGTGAGCAGAGACATGTCAATAGCGTACATCTCTCTTTTGATATTTTCTACAACCATCAACCTCAGTGTATTTGCATTCTTCTTCGTTTGCCCAGTTGTGAAGCATTGTTTTGAAAAGTSGACCTGCGCCGTRAGTGAAAGGGTCACCAGACTGTTCGATGAAAAACGAGCCTTTTTCTGCAGATTGTAAGTACAGAGTTTGTTTTACTGATTGTAAATATATATATATACGTATAATAGATAGGAAAATTCTACATTATTGCAAGGAACAATAAGTAATTACTATACTGAATTTCATTGATTACTTTTACAAATCTATTTTTTACGTTACACAAGCTACTATCRGATCGAGCGTGACCGTCTACCGATATACAAATAAAATGTGGCTAAAATGATTTCAGGTTTCCTAGTCACTAAGAGTTTGTTATTTTCAATACCACTTGAATTGCGTAAAGTCGCGACGAGATGTATCGGTAATTATATACCTTTCTATGATCAAACAGCGAAATGCATTTTAGACAGCCGGGAAGTTTTTATCAATAAACAAAAAAAATRCTTTTATCGATACATCTACAATGCAGCTGATTTGCTTCCAATGTGCTTTTTTCGTGTTTTTTTTTTCATACACTTTCGAGAATCAGTGACCTACCATAAAGATCTGTAATTTTAGCTATTTGGAGTAATATGTTATGCATTTCTTGTTGCAAGGAGAAATGACACTATTTTTAAAAATCTTTAATTGTTTTGCGGTTATAATGCATATCTAGTTTACTTCCTCGTTTTCTTATAATAAGTAGGAATGCTTGCACGTTGATTGGCTGGTCGTATGAAGTTCGGTTATATGTAAGTCGTCTGTGGTCGCTCATTGTCGCTAAACTTATACTTCCCGTAATATTAATCCCTGAAATATTCAATGCCCTATGTAGCGAGGACATTGGTTGTGTACGTGTTCCTGCGGTGGGGGAGGGGGTGGCGGTGTACTTTGACTATGTTAAAACTTGGTTTCGCGGGTTATTGACAGCCACTGTACATATCAAAAGGTATCAATCCACGATTCCGCGTCGTAGGCTTTACCCCCAACTTTGAAAAAAAAGGTTTCCTTTGTATTTACTTTGACTATTATATATGTCTATGTCGTATTTACTTTGACTATTATATATGTCTATGTCGTATTTACTTTGACTATTATATATGTCTATGTCGTATTTACTTGGTAAGATAACTGCAATGGAAGGAATTGCTCAGTTTTGAAATATACCAGAAAAGAATCTTTCAGACCACTCGAGACCAAAAGCTGTGGATAGATCAAACTTCTTTCACGTGCTTCTATATAAGTATAACATTCATATATATGTTTACAAGGACTATAAACTCGCATTATGCCCAAATTGTTTCACATTGTATAAGAAAGCCTTTTGGACATTTCGAGCGAGAACAGCGGGAAAAAAATTAGATCGTCACGACTAGAACCAAATAGTATATAGCTACTATCGTTCATGTTCCGGTGATTTTTGCATTCATATTCATAAATTTTTMCTATATATTATTCATTATTCGACACCCACAATCCAATCAACAACTTTTCCTCTGCCTTCGTCCGGGAGGATTAATTTCAGTAGAACCACCCAACTGAGTGAGGAAAATTTTGTTTTGGAATAGAAACAGGGAAACAGTTTAAATCTCGGGCATTATGCTGTATAGTTGCCCTTGTGAAAACTGGATGTTCCTCAACGTCGAGCTCGATTGCGAATATGTGTTTTTCAGAACATCCAGTTTTCGCGGGGTACTTGTTCAGTTGRATGATTAAGTCAGTTTGTTCTTTGAAGGGTTTTATCTCTCATGTCAACCTACAGGGTTCGTGCTACTCCTTGAAACCCTTGAAAAGTTATTGAAAACTCGTTTTSCCGCTTGTTTTCATTTGAATATGAGGCCGAAAATCGATAAAAGTCATAAAACTCCTATCTGATGAAATTGACATGTTGCTTTCTAGCGTTTTGATTGAATGTGGCTATTTTTCAAAATCGCCAATGGAAACGTCCACAAACAAAAATTTTTTTTGTAAATAGTCCGAAAAGTGCTTGTTTTCCTTTTTTGACTTAAAAGTTGGCTTTAAACTCGTTCAAGACATGGTGGATCACCACCTTCTTGTAACGGTGTTGGRTGATCCGGCAATTGTATTGTTAAGTTGCAACACAAAAGAAACTTTGCTAATTACTTGGAATGTTTCACGGSATTCAATGTTTCATATGTACACAGTATACTTGTATATCTGACATCAACTGCACCATCAAACTCTGCCAAATTAGGAGGAGCCGACGGGTTCCTGGGAGAAATATGCCTGTTCTTATGTCCCAGCCAGCTGTAAGTCATAACTGGTTGCCAGCGGGAAATTCAGGGAAAGAGAACTCTCTATTGGCAAGGAATACTTTCAATGAATTTTGCCAGGAAAAGAAAAATTTCCTAACTAAAACAATATAAGCCGCTTTTGACACACAAGAACAAGAACAGTTATTAGAAGAATAGACCCCGTCGGCTCCTGTCAAATAACAAATTCACAATGAACTGCCAAACTACAACTGGATAGCGTGGGTAAATGTATTGTTATTAAACTGTTCAATTTTTCAGTTTTAGGGACCAAGTATTCAATGCKTTCATCTTCACGTGTGGTATCATCCTCCTCGGTACCACCGACGTTTTACAGAAACCATTCATAGATACTTCTGAGCATGCCTTGGCGGTGTTTTCTGTTAACCTTGGACACTATGTATACAGATTCTTTCAAGACATTRTGTTGCGAAAAATAATTCCTTTATTTAAAATAAACTTACTTCATCARATTGTAACTATAGCAACCTATGCGGTTTARGTTTCGTACGGGCAGAATGCTATCTCCGGTATCATTGGACTGCTATTTGAAGGAAGCTCTATCATCTTTGAATTTGGTGGATTTTTAAAAGCTTTGGGCATTAGGGAGAGCTCGCCAATTTGCATTTCCTTGATGATCATCGGGTGTATCTTGACTGTTGTATTTAGAGGAATATGTCCTGTTACAATGTTAATACTAGTCTTACTAAAAGCGAATCCGCTGCAAATGGCATACGTTCCTCTGGGATTTTTCTTTATGAATATAGTATTTTTCTCCGTGGTTAATGTCTTAATAATGAAGACCGCATTTGAAAGCCTGCGAAGAAGACTTTTCTCAAGAAGAAT